ACATTGATGATGTGTAAACGCACCAGTAACTTGGTGTTATAAAACGCATTGTTGTGTATGATTTGATGAGTAAGTAGAGCAAGCATATGAGTCGAAGTTTATCTGTTCATTTTAACCAAATGTGGGATAAAAGCGATATATGTGGGCCCCTCGATGATTTAGAGATGACACCCTAAGCGCTTGGCTAAGCCTGGACTGATTTGATTTGTTCAATTAGTCAGCCATCATAAATCGGAAATCGGGAAACAACAGATGGACAGAGAGAATGATTACAATCCATGTCTCAGTCCATATGATATCTTGTAGAATGGAGGAATATTTTATCCCTTATCTAATGGACGCGTCATTGATTTGTTCAGAGTTCGACAACGGCTTTTTGAGAGCTACGATTGCTAGTCGGTTCTTCAAGTCGTACTTGCAGTTATAGTTATTAGACTTAATTTCTTCAAGTCGTACTTGCAGTTATAGTTATTAGACTTATCCAAGTGGGAGACTGTTGGATTAGGTGTCTAAGACCATAAATATAATTGGTATGTACTTGACCCGAGAGTAGCATGGTCCATTTCGGGTTGCCTTCACCAAGACCATTTGATAGGATGGATATTTGAGAAAGAAGTTATTTGTGATTTATTAATGTATTATAAGAATAATATATTAATTGAGAAAATAATATTATTTAATTAGTATTGGTCAAGAATTAATTTGGAATTAATTTAGTGATCAAAAGAGACTAATTAAATTTGCAGGGACTGATTAGGTAAATCAGTGATATTTATAGTTTGGGCTAATGATCCATGTTGATTAGGAATGGACTAAATCTTTGTGAGAGTCCATGAAGAGTTAGTACATAAGGCTAATGACTTAATGGATTAAAAGCCCAAGTGAATTAGGGTTTACAAGTTTAAACTCTAGGAATTCCAAACTATAAATTGAACCCTTAAGCTTGCAAAATCGGCCACTAGTACTCCAAGGTAAAATCCTAGCTAATTTATGCTCCTAGCCTCTCTCTCTCTCTCTCTCATTATTCTCCACTTGTTCATGTTGTTTGTGACTTGTTCGGGGCATCACACTTGAGGTGCTAAGCTCTTGAAAGGACAAGTTCGACAAGCTACTACAAAGAGGTAATCATCTAACTAGCTTTTATGTTTTAAATATCAATGTTGTATGCTAGTTAGGCTTCATGCTTTGGAAAATGAAAATTGCATGTATAATTAGAGAAAACTTAGATCCAAAGCTTTAGGGTTGTATGTGCACCATAGGAGAGTTATAGTACTTAAAACCCAACATCTCCAAGTGCAGAGTAGGTACTAGGATTGGCTGCGAGCGAATCGATGACCGGGGGCGGTGGTCTCTTTAAAGAACTGGGCCCCACTTCTACCTCTCCTCGCCCGGGCATAGCAAATCCTTCGCCAAAAACACTCCCAATGCCGCCAAGAAGCTTGGGCACAGACACTATGCTTCGTTTCTTGCGGGGACAAAGGCCCATGTCATCAGATTCAGTTTCCTCGTCCGACGACAGCACCACACATACACTTCGTTTTTTCTGGATTGGGGTAGTATTTCTAACTGCTTGGCCCACCACAGGAATGTCGGCGGAGGCAGGAACCGGATAACGGAATGGGAAGGAAGCCCAGACACCCGCTTGAGAAGATGAGGCAGGTCGCTCGAACCAACATTTCCCCCTTCCGCTGGGGGTAATCCAGCAAGCTCTCGCACGCGTTTCTCAGAAACGGGAGGGGGAAGAGTCTCCACAAGATCGACCTCCCGGTGGAAAAGTTTACCCCGAGAATGGCCACGCAGGGCCATCTCTAAGGAAATCTCGGCTTCGACACCTGCAAACACAAACATCAAACATGAGAACTGGCAGATCAATAAAATACTCTGTTCTTATCTTTTTTTTTTAAATAAAGGGGGGGGGGGGAAGAGGGAGATGAGCGTATACCATTCCTCACAATGAATAATTGCGCTATCTTCCCCCGCGCCCTCCAGGCAGCACTCATGCCGGGTTTGGCAAGGATGAAGACTTTCCAGTTCTCCCCAACGAGAGTTATGTTTTCCAGACGTTTGCCAAGAACTAGGTTGTCCTCGAATAGCTTGGGAAGACGGTCGGGAAAGTCTCGAGTCCTCCGAAACCCGTGCCCCACAAGGTTTCAGTCGACCCAGATCTATTGTCTCTACCAATTTTTCTTCGGATTATCTTGCTTAGATATCAAATTACGGATGCCTTGCCTCTTCGCCAGCGTGCGGACGCCAGAGTTTGTAGATGCAAAAAAGAAGTAACCGAAGACCCAATAAGTGGGTACATAACCCAGGGATCAACAAATCAGTTTGAAGCCCACAACTTTATTGACGACATTTGGGGTTAATTCATCAACAGAAAAGTCGTAATGGTGCACAATCATATCAAAGAAGTCATACATTGACAGGCGTAACCCCGCTTCAAACAGAGGAACGGGAATCCCCACTTTCCCTCGAGGGAAGTCATAGATCGTCGATCCCTTTGCCAGAATCATCACACCGTGCTCCGGAAAGAAACCAAATTGTTCTTGCAATAGCCGGAATTCCTCTACGGTAGGGACTCTGCCGTAACGATTCATCGTCAAAAGCAGATGAGTGATGAAAAAGAAAATCTCAAAATGACTGAGTCGCTACAACGAAAGCAAAGATAAGATGGCAATGGTGAAAGGTCTACAGTAAATGGGGGGATTTTAAAGGAAAAACTGGCATCACGAAGTGTCTCATGACAGATCTGACGCATATCGGCGGCGCTACCTAAGCCTGTCGAGTGCCAAAAATAATCTCAGACATACACGTGTTGCAATATAGGCTCGAACGACGATGCTACCAAGCTAACGCATATGCCTACAAGCCTATGGGACTTGTTAACGTATCCATCAGGAGGAACGTTAAAGAAGAAAAGTCAAAATAGTGCCAACCTGGGCCAAGGCAGAGTCTGGTCGTATCCAGTCAGAGGCCAGGGCCGGGCCTCCACCTGTATGGACTCACTGGTATGATGGCTAAGGGGCAGAATTGCGCCTTATCCTCCTCTCCTTAGGAGAAATACCCCAGCAAACGCGGAGCCAATTAGAGAGCTCCACCTGCCCATCTGACGACAGCTACGATCATCATTATATAGAAGATTCCCCTCTAGCCAATGAGGGGACGAGACAAAAAAGACGTGATAGCGAATCCTTCAATATGGATTCGCCACGTCTCGTCCCACGAAAGAAGGCTCAACAGAATCAGCTAGGAGGCACATGCTCCTCACTCAGGTATAAAAGGACCCTTCTTCCTCACTGAGAGGGGGACTGCACTTTTCTCTCAGTTAATATCCTATCTTCTCGCTCATACTGTTCTACCTAAATATTTCAGAGAGAAAACTAACTTGATCGTCGGAGCGACGTCCCGGGAGAACACCCGGTCATCCTTTAACGATTCTTTTGTGTTGTGTTCTCAGGTAAACCTCCAGGACTGATCCATCAACCAGCTTCCAATCCCCTGTAGAGCATATCACAACAACGGTCAACCAGGTTAATGGCCGCCACGCCGTGGCCAAGTAAAGACAAACTATTCACGACGTAGTGCAACACCACGCCGTAGGCCTTTTTCTTACTTAGCAGAAGTCCAATGACCATAAAAGTGCCATAACAAGCTTTAAAGTCCCTCAAATTCCAAGAGCATCCATAAAAGGGACCAAAACTTCATAACCAAGTCAATAACAAAGAGAGGAAGCATCAAGGTAGGAACTTTATGGCTCACCCAAGTCCCGAAACATAAGATGAGGCTAGATAAAAGCTGAAGCAATCACTCCTTGAACCAAGAACACATCCTCTATCTTCAAAAGTGCACCAAAAGCATCAAACTTGGAAGGAAATGGAGAGTGGGCAATATGGTGGCTAGGGTTTGCTCCCAAGGAGTTCAATGGCCAGATGGAGGCTACCAATAACCTAAAACTCAAAGGTTTTTCCCATTAATACAGAGAAAAACCTAATCTTTATGGGCTTGGACTGCTGCGTTCACCGCGTCGCGGCAAGCCTGAGCCATCAAGCCCAGTTTCGATTAAGTCCAACTTCATTTTTAGCTCAAAATCTTAACTCATAGCCCAAAGGGCCTTCTCCCTCTAAATCCAAGTATAATCCTTTGAGGCCCGAGACTTCTACCTGATCAAATCACGGCCCAAAATTCAATTAAGAATTATCTCGAAACAGGATATTACAATATAAGTTAGCTTATTTTTTTGTTTATTACAATAAGTGTTTGGTGAGACCATCGAAATACCTTATAAGTTATTTGATATTACTTATTATAAACTCATGAGTGTTTGTTTAACAAGTTTTCTAAATTTACCTTTATATGTTTGTTTCATTACATTTCAATGTCAAAAAAAAAAGCTTATAACATCTAAATTAGGGATTGTTTGATAATTATTAATTGAGTCTGATATAATTGAGTCAATGTCATAATGAGTTAGACCCATATCTTTTTCCTGACCCTATAAAAGGCATATCCAAGTCTATAGGACCAAATCATAGGTTTCTAATTGTGATATCAAACAATTTGAATTTGACTGAATCAGACTCACCCTCTTACGAAACTCATTAAAAAAACATATCAAACCAACCCTTAGATAGTAACTAAACATAATCAATCATATTTATAATATAGAAAATACATGTTATCATCATAATTATTTATAACTATTAATTAAACATCAAAAAACGGTGTTGAAAAAATTAAGCATCTAAAAAACATATTTGAACAAAAATAATATAAAACAAATGATGCAAACGAGTTTTTAGCTTAAAATGAAAAATACCACTGAAATATAATGTTTTGAGTTTTGACTTTCACTTTTGCATGAAATCGTTATTATTTCTAAAATTTTCAAGTTTAGTTATGTAATTCTTGTAAAGAATATGATAAATACGCTTTTATTCGAGTCTATGAGATATAGTCTTATATGTTTTTTCAACTTTTACATATGAACTTGCTCCACAAGTTTAAATAGAAGATGAAACAAGAGTAGATTTCCCTAAAATATCATCCTTAACTATGCGAAGTTCTTCGACAACACACTGAGCATCCATTCGATACTGTGGCGATTCCGTAGAGCATGACACTCCAATTTCAATTAATAAATGCAAACAGTTTTGTGTTTTCTTGTAACGTGTTTTCTGTGCTATACCTCTCTCATTCTTTCTCATAGCAAGTTTCCCATCTTCATCATTCAGAAGCAATGGATCTACGATTTCAAGTGCACCAACACCCATGGATTTCTTGGCATAACTGTGTAAGGTAAGCCCATCTCCAAACATAACATCAGTAGGTTTCTTACATGTGATCATCTCCAACAACAAAATCCCATAACTGTACATATCGCCACTTGGTGATACCTGGCTCCCAAGCCCATATTCTGAAACAAAGCATTTTTTGTATTAGTAATATATGCAATCTGCAAATCAATAATAGTAATTATGAAAATCTACAAAATTTAGTAACTATTTTTGAATCATTGTTTATATCCTTCAAACAACTTTTTTAAATCGATAATCGCAGTTAAGGAAAACCCCCAAAAATAGCAAGTGTTTATTCATCATATTATGATTTTTAGAGTTAATCTACATGTTTTACTCGATCGACGATATGTATCCGAATTCGGAATTACTATATATATTTTCTATACGAAGTGGGAATTTGTAATTGCTTATTTAAAATATTTATTAGCTTATTAGAGTTTTATACCACTAATACGATAATTTGAATGTTTGGAATGCACACAATAACTTATGTTTGTTACACTGTGGTACCGCTAAAAAAATATATGAATTAGATGTTTCCTTTTAACTTATTAGTTTATTGGAGTTTGATACATATAATAATAATAAGCATTTTGAATGTTTTAGTTTCAAAAAGTATTTTCTTTAAAGAAAAAAACAACTTAATTATTAGGGCACCCATAATGCATTGAACTTCATAATGTTCAATGGATTGTCACATTATTTTTCTACATTCTATACAATTCTATTAATTTTTTCCTACAATGCATTAAACTCTACAAAGTTCAATAGAAAGTTACAAAAGCTAATTTATAGTATGTATTTAAGATTAGAAACATTTCCTTGTTACAAAAGCTAATTTATAGTATGTATTTAAGATTAAAAACCTTTCCTTTTTTCTATTGAAGAGTTCAGTGGTCATTGAACTCTAAATCCATTGAATGCCAATATGTCATCTCACTATGATAGAGTTTCATCCATTGAATGACAACTAGATTTGACACCTCATTTAACCCTTCCATTGAACTCACTATTGTGGATGCTTTTAGTCCAAATTTTGGAATCGTATAAGATGACTGAATCACTCTTCTGAAAACCATGCTTTAAGTCGGTTCAAATTTACAAAAATTTTTACATTACATTATTATTCTTTAAGAAATTAAATATATACCCTTCTATAGTTTTTTTTTCTACATATATCTTTCTACGCATCTTAAATGATGACATGTGTCATACAGGTGTATTAAAATATTATTATTATTGGTAAATAACTAAATATAACATATTTTATCATTTAAGATTGGTAGAAGGATATATATATATATATATAATATATATATAATATATATATATATAATATAATATAAAGAAGAAACTATAGGAGATACTTAATTTCTCTTATTGTTTTTAAATTAAAACAAAGTTTTTCAATTTTTTTATAACACTTCAAATAATGTTATTTATACCTGATGTGTTGCACATATTATTAATATAGTCGTTCAAAACTACCTGAGTAAAAACTTCATAAGAAATAAGATTAAAAAGTATTGTTTTTAGATCAATGTTGCAACACCACTACAAGGAACGTGATCATTAGCGGCGACAAGCGACGCCCTATGGTAGCGACGAAGAGGTATTAGCGGCGACACTAGGGTTTTAGCAGCAACGACTTCACGAGGGAAAAATAGCGGCTTTTTTTTGAAGCATTAGCGGCAAACAGTGTCACCGCCATTACCATCGCGAACGATGTCGCCGCCATTACCGTCGCCGCGAATACGTTACGCGAACTTCGTTTTCAACCGTTCGATTACGTCCAGATCAACGAACAGGATTAACCAGATATTTTTGACACTGATCGTGGGTTTCCACCTTTAGCGGTGACGCCCACTATTAGCGGCAACACCTTTTGCTCGTTATCATAGTCTTTCCACTTTGTTAGGAGTTTGGACGTATAAATAAGATTTATAAAAGAATTTTATCATTGTGTAAATATCTTGAGGAGTTATAATAACTGTCTCATCAAAAAGCTCCTTTTTATTGTGGATGCCTTAAGGCTAGACGGATTGGGCTCGGTAAGTGCTCGACACATTCGAGATGTACTCAACAAAAATTGCCCCACGAGCTCGGCATGTTGAGTTCGGTAGCCTAACTCGACAAGTGTGTTTTGATGAGAGAAAAAGAAAATAAAATTTAAAATTTAAAATTTGTATCATTTTTTTTATCAAAAATATTACCGTTTTTCTTAAAAATTTCAAATTATTAACACCTTTATAAATACCTACAGCTATCTTATTTTATAAAACACAACAACCTTCAATTTTTCACTCAAACACTCCTTGTTTTGAAAAAAAAATAGTTTCTTCCAATTCCCCATCCAACCCTAAAAATTTCAAGAAAAATACCCAAAACACAACCACTTCAAACCCTTCATTAACTACATTCTTCCAAACATGGTCGACTCTACCCTTTACAAAACTAAGCAAGGATTTAGGGCTCTATTTTTAAAGCTTGTTTTGTTAATTATATATGTATATATACGTATTTCTTGGGTTACAAAGACTAGTTGGAGCTCGGCCTGGTGGTAAAAGCACTACTTTATAAAACTAAGGGTCTCAAGTTTGAAACTGTTTGTTTACTTAAAGGGCCCCAATTTTTTTGTTTGCTTACAGCCCCCAAATTGGTTGAGCCACCCTTGCTTCCAAAATCAAATTAATCATCCTATTTTTTCACATCCTAGTTACCATTATCTTGGTGTGTATTGCACTCCATATCCTATTTATACCCAACCCCAATTCTAATCACAATCAAAATCTCAACCCCATTTCCAATTCCAATCTCAAGTTCAATGCCAACCGAAAAATGACTTCAACCCATTTGACAACCTTCCCAACTCTCAGTTCCATTTCGAATTCCATGCGCAATCCTAAAGTCAATTGCAAACTCACTCTCAACCTGAAACAAATTACGAGCATGAAAAGATTCAAACCTCAAATGGAACCCAAGAAAAAAAATAGGAAAGACACCTTATAAGAATTGGACATCGGATGAAGAAGTGTTGTTGGCTCTTGGATGGGTATATGTTTCAGAAGACCTAATCAAGATGCACCAACTTTTTATTGGAAAGTTACAAGACATTTTCTCTCATAAATGAAGTGTGGAGTGTATATAAATAAAGATAAATTTTACTCAAAGTGGAGGAAGACCAACAAAATTGTCATGGAGTTTAACGCGATATTTGTGAGCGTGAAGCGGCATGCAGTGGTAGAGTGGTGCGAACGGTGAAACAATATTGTAGAAAACTCTGACACTTTATCGCACTGATAAAGTGGGAACTTTCAAATTTCTTCATTTTTGGAATATTATGAAGGAGTTGAAAAAGTGTCAAGATATCCAAACTTTGGAATCATTCACGAGTGGTTCTAAAAGAATCAAAACATCTGAAACTACTCATATCCAATCGTCGGATACGCATGTAGTGATTGACCACAACGAATATGAGTCTATTGAGGTTCGAAGAGCTAGTCGTCTCATGGGAAGAGACCAAGCAAAACGAAATGGTAAAGGAGTTGGAAGTAGTTCGAGTGACATCGAAAAAATGACGATCGAGATGAACAACTTGAAAACTACTTCGGAGCAACACTTGAGTGTTGCAAAAGAGAATGAAAAAAGTCGTGACATGGAAATCTTAATGAAAATATACTAGTAACTTTACCGAGCGGGAAAAATAATTAGCTTTAAAGGCCAAAGACGTGATTGCAGAAAAATAAAATATTTAGGATTAGCTATGTTTCGTAGTTTTAATATTTATGTTTCGTATTTTTATTATGTATTTTTTTTCTAAATGTTATTGTAAGTTTCCTTTCAATATAATGGAATTTTAGTTTTTATAAAATTTAAGTTGTTTTAAATTGATTTTTTTTTATATAAATTAATTTTAGCTTAGAAAAAAGTATAGCATGTCAAAAGCGACAAACCACCCTTTACCGACAAACTTGAGGTGTAGCAAATGTGATGTGATGTCTACATGACATGACCGACCGGAAAATTTAATTTGTTAAGAGTGATACCATGTCCTCTCGTCTAAAGGCTTTCTTGGCATTTGAGTTAAATATGCAATGACGGAGCCACCTTAGGGCCAGGGTAGGCCCAGGCCCACTCTCAATTTTTTTTTTTTTTTTTTTTGCATTCAGAATTAAAAGATTATTTGGATGCACTTTATTTGTAGTTCAATTGGTAAAATATTGTATTTCTTTCCTAAACACTCAAGTTTGATTCTATTCCATTACATTTGAGTTTTTTTAGATAATTCATTTTTAAATTTACATTTTGACCCTTCATATTTAGAAGTTCAATTCTTTTAGTAAGTTAAGTTAGTTTTCAAATTTTATACATTTCACACCTCAAGTTTTATAAATTTACATAATTCCATTTTTAGATAATTTTATTTAGTTTTTAGTTTTTTTAGATTTATTTTTTTTATAAATAAAAAAATTGTATTTTGAGGGCTATATTCCCTTTTCGTATAAATTCTTCAAAATCAACGGGCTCTCTCTCTCTATATATATATATAGAGAGAGAGAGAGATTGTGTGTGTGTGTGAAATTTGATGGGTGGCGGAGGTGTTTGTTTTTTTGAACGGCGGGTTATTGGTTAGATGTTAATATTACGAAATTGTCAATGTCTGGATATATATATATATATATATATATATATATATATATATATATATATATATATATATATAATCTGTTTATTTTGAAATTAGAATTAAAACATTATTAAATATAAGTTCTAAATGGTACGGGAGGCATAATCATATAATCGAAGTCTCTATCTTGAAGCAATATTAACATTAAAGAAGTGGATGTTGCTTTCAGTGGCGCCACCAACCTCATGAGATGAGTCATGACATGATATTCCATGATAACGATAGAGAGAGGGATGGGCATTAACACCATCCATGCAATGCATGATACATCACATACAAAGTATATATAACAAGAGTATGAATATAATGATGATGAGGTTGACATGTATTATATAAATATATATATATATATATATATATATATATATATATATATTATAATATATTATATAATATATATATATATTTCACAATAAAACTATATCATATCATGATATCTTTTTGTATATGTAGATATGGGTATATATGTGTATTATGCATATGTATATGTATATGTCAGTATGTGTACGTGTATAGTAAATTAGGTAAATCAGATAAATTAGCTGAGGTATCAGCACAACATACCTGGAGCTGCATATCCGACGGTTCCTCTAACTCCAGTTGAGCTGCTATGCTGTCTAATTTTGTACTCAGGTTGAAGGATCTTCGAAAGCCCGAAATCTCCAACATGTGCAACCATGTCTTCATCAAGTAGAATGTTGCTTGGCTTCAAATCACAGTGCACAATAGTCTTTCCCGTGTGACGATGAAGATATTCAAGTGCGTAAGCCACATCCAATGCTACACACACTCTTTGAAGTAGACTGAGTCGAGGGAGCTTGTTTTGCACGTCATGCAACCATTGATCTAAAGTTCCATTAGGCAAGAACTCATAAACAATGGCTTTAAATTCATTTCCTTGGAAGTCGATGCCACTGCAACAAGTTATAACTTTTGCAAGGTTTCTATGTCGGGCATTTTTCAGTGCTTCACACTCAGCGATGAAACTCTTGGAACCTCCTCTACGATGGAGGTTAAGTACTTTGATAGCTACAATCCCACTATCTGCATCGAGGTTTCCTCTATAAACTGATGAAAAGCTACCCTCACCGATGAAGTTTTTAGTGGAAAACCCATCAGTTGCTTTGTAGAGCATTTCGTAAGAAACCTGAACGAGGGACTCTCGGGATATAGGCTCATGACTTACATCATCTTTGATTTCACTTTTTGTTCGATAAAACACAAAAAACACCACCACAGCTATGCCAATCAAAACTGCAACTAAAAGGATAGCTGATATAACTGCAAATCTCAGCCATTTTTTCTTCTTTGGATTTGTAGAATGGCACTTAGGCAACCGGAGTTCAGGTACGCCACCACAAAGCCGATTGTTTCCAACAAGAGATACCGCACTTGCGTTAGAAAACACTCCTTTGCTCGATACCTCCCCCTCAAAACCATTGAATGATATGTTGAGATTCTCCAAAGGAATTTCTTCAAAGTAAGTTGGGATCTTCCCTGTAAAGTTGTTATGCGAGGCGTCAAAAGTTTGAAGGGCCCGCAAAGATCTCAACGACGATGGAAGAGTTCCCTGAAAGAAGTTGTTGCTTATGTCGAGATTCACAAGGCTGCTACAGCTGCTAATGGTGGTAGGAAGATCTCCTGACAATCGATTATTTTCCAGAATAATTTCGTTTAAGTTCTTAAGGTTGCCAACCTCTTGTGGAAGTTCTCCGGACAATTGATTGCCACCCAAATTCAAGCTAATGGATAGCGTTGAGAGTTCAAATAGTTTCCTGGGTATTTCTCCAGTAAGGTTATTTTGATCGATGCTTAACTTTATCAACCTCTTGCAGTTCCCTAAACTCGATGGCATGCTACCATTGAATTCATTTAAGCCCAGGTCGAGTTCAATCAATAATGAAAGATTTCCTAAAGAACCAGGAATGTTCCCTGAGAAAGAGTTATTCTTAAGATCTAGTTTCTGTAAACTTCCAAGATTGCTAAAGTTCACCTGATTAATTGTGCCTTTGAGTTTGTTATTAGACAAGTCTAGAGAAGTTAGGCCGGAAAGATTACCAACCGATGAAGGAAGGCCACCAGAAAAAGCATTTGAAGCAAGGCTTAGAAAACTTAGTGTATTCGACAAGTTTCCTAGAGAATGTGGCAAAAAACCTTTCATCTGATTGTAACCAATATCTAACATTCTTAAGTTTTTGCAAATCGACAAAGCCTCTATAAACGTCATTTCATCATCCTCCCCGCTCCCAAAATGATTCGAACCTAGATACAAGACTTCAAGATTACATGCTTCACGAGAAGTGATTACTAGTTTTCCAGAGAAGTTGTTTCGAGAAAGATCAAGGATTTCAAGATTCGAGGAACTGAGAACAGATGTTGGTAAGGGACCTGAAAAGTGGTTATCGGGAATAGAAAGTGCCTGAAGATGAGGCTGCATCGAACCTAAGTTCGTGGGTAGTCTACCAGTGAGTCGATTATCATCTAGAAGTAGTATCTCTAAAGAGGAAAGATTGTAAAGAGAAGGTGGGATGGAACCAACAAGTTTATTTTCAACCAATACAATAAATGTGAGGTAACTCAACCGGTGAAAGACATCTGGAATGCTTCCACCGAGTCCACATTTACCAAGGGAAAGAATTTCAAGGGATGTAAGACTCCCGATGAACCTTGGAATCCCACCTGAGAAATTGTTGACCGGAAGGATGAGTTGGTTTAGCATCAACAAGGAACCAAGTTCTTCTGGGATCTTTCCAACCAGATTATTTTGACCCAAAACAAGCGACCGGAGGTTGGAGCAATTCGATAAGCTGGCGGGAATGTTTCCAACCAGAATATTTTGACTCAAGTCAAGCACCTGGAGATTTGAGCAATTCGATAAGCTGGCCGGAATGTTTCCCTGGAAAGAATTGTTATAAAGAGATAGTTCTTGTAACAGAAACAGACGACCAACTTCAGGCGGAATCTCACCGGAAAGGAAGTTGTTTTGGAGCTGAATCTCCCTGAGAAAGGTTAGATTTGCGATGGAAGGAGATAAGGAACCGAGTAAGCCTCCATCGGAAAGATTCAAGGCGATGACTCTTTGGTGGTTGGGGTTGCAGGTCACACCTTCCCATTGGCAATGAAGGGAATCGTTCCATGAGATCATGTGACCTTTTGGGTCTTCTTTAATCTTGGATTTGATTGCAAGTAATGCGACACGATCCCCAACACAGGTGGTGCAGTTCTGAGCATGGATGACTGCCGGAAACGCTGCAATGTTCATCAAAGTGATGAA